GTGTACAATTTATTTTTACTTAGTCTTCTTCGAGACTTTTTTTCCAACTCACTTGTAGCATGTTGACATGCATGACAGGAATATACAGTAACAATTAAAATAGTATAAGAGAATCAAAATAACTGCGGATGCAGGAAATCAGAAACAAAAACAGAAATTGCTGGGAACACTCAGCAGGTCTGGCAGTATCTGTGGAGAGAAATCAAAATTAATGTTAACTTGACAACAGAGATAAACAAATGAAACAGTTAGAATAGTATACTGCTTCGACTAACTTCAAACATTCATCTTTATCAAAGGCCATAGCTGAGCTGCCAACATTAAGACAATGTTATGAATGAGATTTATGCGATCAGAGAGAACACAATAGTGTAAGAAATGCTATCACTGTAATGTGTCTTTTGAAAAGATCATTGGGTTTATTATTTCTGGTAAACTGTAAACACTACATAAAATTCACATACCACAAAAACATGAAAACGTCACATTTGCAGATTTTATGATGTGTTTAGTCAGCGAATAAATATTTGACTTGGGAAGATGCTAAAATACAACAGAATGAATCAAAGTTCATAACTCGCTCAATGTATGACAGAATACTGGGATAAGCAACTGGCCTATGAGCAACTACCAAACATATCAGTATCTTGCAATTTGCGCTCTTCAGTCCACCAGATTTCAATTTTATTTGAAAAGCCAGCTACATTCTCCACTTTGACCACTCTGCTTCCCACTCTGCACTTCCTTGTTGTAACTCATTCCCCAAACAGACACAAATATCTCCTCAGTTTCCCTCAGGCTGTTTTCCTCAACCAAACACCCAACATTTTGTAGCCAATGCTTAACTCATGATTGGAAAGTCAGTAATCTCCGGAACAGAGGCACAAAGTCAAAACAAAATGGCCCAAACACAGTCTATTGGACCATTCAAGTAGTGGGAGTTTAGGTCATGCCCAACACATTATTGCTTCAAAATAAATATATCGAAGAGCCTTGACTTTTTCCCTTTTCCATTATCCCTCGGCATTTTTAAAAAAAGATAATTTATGGGGTGCCCAACCCAAACAGCAAAGAGTCAATCACATTGCACTGGGTCTGGAGTCACACGTGGGCCAGACCAGGCCAGGATAGTTGAGTTCTTTACCTAAAGCACATTAGTGACCCAGATGAGATTTTACAACAGTAGACATGTTTGCTATAGGACTAGTTTTATTTTTAATTCCAACCCGCTTTATTTTTACTGAATGCAAATTTCACTCTTTGCCAGGGAGGGTTTCAAACCTACATCCTCAGAAACTTAGCTTGGGGCTCTGGATGACTAATCTAGTGACATAACCAATACACCACCACCTCCTTGCTATGTCCTTCATAGCTTCAGGTCATCCCACAAAATGCAGATGCGAATGCTGCAACATATTCCCACAGCAAGGAGATAAATAACCAGATAGTCTTCTTTAAAAATGATGTGAAGTAGGCGTCCCTGGCAAAGCCTGGCATCTGTTGCTCATCCTTCTAATTGCCCTTGAATGAGTGGCTTACTAGGCAATTTCAGAGGGTAACCACATTGCTGTGGGTCTGGAATCATATTAGGCGAGACCAAGTAAACATGGTAGATTTCCTTTCCTCTCAGCGCATTAGTGAAAAAGATAGGCTTTTACAACCATCAATAATGGTCACCCTTCAGGTAGTTTATAATTCGACGTTTTTCTCGAATTGAAATTTCACCACCTGCCGTGGCGGGATTTGAACTCTTGTCCATAGAACTTTAGCCTCAGGCTCTGAATTAGAAGCTGAGCGATGTTAGCAGTATGCCATTGGTTGAGGAATAACTGTTGTCCAAGACAGCAGCAAAATTCCTTCTCCTCTGCCTTCTTCAAACAGTGCCATTTGGCTATCCATCTGAATGAACAGAGTGGGTTTGGAATACACATTCCAAAAAAAAAAAAAAAAAAAAAAAAAGGCACGGCAGAGATGGCTAAAGATTGTAGCAGGTTGGATCTGCACCACAGGTCAACCACAAGAGACTGGAGGAAGTTGCAGTGCGCCCAGACTGCAGGTAAAAATTTGCAAGAGAATGATGACATTCAAAATAAATGTTGAGCATAGGGAATAAATAATCAACACAGCGAAGTGAGGAATTGAGTATCAAGTCAACATGGTGAAGGATTTCAGCAATCTACTGAAGGAAAGCCAAAAAGGTACGCTGGAGAAAATTGGATCACAAGGAGATGATGGCACTTTAGAAGATTTTAGGTCAAGTGGAGATGAAGTGCAGACAGAAGCGAGTAGATACGGTTGTGGATGCAGTTTTAAGGTCAACAGCCTGGACCAGTGAGAGGGATGCACTGGGTTGTTTGATTGGGATCAACATCCACAGCTTTACGCTTCCCAACGTTCAGTCCAAGTGAGTTGGGTTCATCTTTGAAAGTCTCGAGCAAATTCCTGACAGGAAGCCGGACAGCAGCAAGGTGCTGTGGAGATCAGGCTCCTCCAAATGGTGCGCATCACCACACCGTAGGAAACCAGTGATTGACGCCGTTGATGGGCAACATGCAGATTAAGAGAAGGCGGGCAGGACCTGTGTGGAGCAGATGGCACAATATCTGCAGGAGAAGTCGTTTCTGCATGCGGGCGAGGAGGGTAGCGTGCATGGTGGACTAAGCCGGTGAAGGGAATAAGGGCCAAGTGAGCAGATCAGAAAATGAATCTAGGCAGCCTGGGAGATGACAGTAAAGGGATGACAACATACTAGGGTTGTTGCATGATAGACAAAGTAGCGGTTTGAAAGCAACAGTTGCATGACACAAACGTTTGGCAGCATGCAAGCCAGAGAAACCTGATAGACCTCTGGGAATTAAAATTCAGTTGCCTACAGAACTGCCCAGCATAAAAGGAATCGAACAAAGCATGCAATTAAAGCGACCAAACTACAACAGACCAAATCAGAGCATTAGGAATCTCTTGGACCCCCACATGAAAATAAAAAAAGCCATTCAACTTCTTTCAAAAAAAAAAATTAGCTTGGCACATCAAGTGCAAAACAAGTGGAGCAAAAAACAATTTTGACAGGGTCAGACCTCTCAAATTTAATATTAGTGGTTGTTGGAGAAGTAAAGCAGTTAGCACTTCAGTGAGCAATTCTACGGATTTTCAGCAGGTCCTTGCAATTATGAGGCAGTCTGCTTCACAAGATGATTAACTCTGGATTTAAATTGCTTACTTAGGCCAGAAATACATGCATTAATCTAGTTTCTAAAGAAATGAGCTGCCATTAGATATACATATTTCAGCATTGTTTCTTGGGTAACCAAGTCAGAGTGGCACGACAATTGGGAGGAGCTTAGAGGTGGTGCTGCTCCTATGCAGCTGCTTCCTTCAGGAGGCACAGGTTTATGGGGTGCTTTAGAAACATGCTGGCAAAAACAGCTACAATGCATCCTGTAGGTAAAGCACACTGTGATGGAAAACAAATGCTTATAAAGACAGTGAATGGGTTTCAAATTCTTGCTGCACTATTCTAGTCACAGTCTTGTAAAGGATTGCTTGTTTATGCTGATTTTACCGGATAAATTTAGTAGGCGATTCATTCTTCAGCCAAATTTGCACAGGACTTGAAGCTACTGGAAGACTTGGATGATTCACGCCATAATTGGCGAAATCTTTCAGGTCACTTGGAAACTATGGCAGCAACGTTTGGAAGCACATTGGTTTTATAAGGACAAATATAAATATGGCACTTGGTGATGGGTAATGAAATGGCAAAGATCAGGCTATCCTAATCAGGTTCATTCCTATGCACTCCTTCAGCCTGCAGGCAGCTGAAGAGTGAGGAATTGGGTTACTCTGTAAACCCCTGATGGGCTCTGTATTCCAAAGCTAACAGATGTAGCCTTTGCCAAACAGCAAGACTTGCAAATTTGATAAGTTGAGAACATCCTTTCTCATCATCACCATCTTAGAGCGCACCAAGGAATGGAAACCTTTGGCCGTGTGTAGTGGTTTACCTTAATCTGTTAATTATTAACTAGTTCAGTGTTCAAATCAATCTAGGGCCTCATCCCATCCTGTTTCTCTAAGTTCCTATAGCCATACAACAAGCTCAGTCAGTTGGCGAGAGTTTCCTATCGTCAGGCAATTTTTAGCGTGTTATGCCCTAGCATTCTGTGTCTGTTCTGTTCAGCCATTTTATACGCCTGCGGTTTGTCGAGTGGAGGTTTGTACTCCACGCTGCGGGGCAGTCCCTGGTTTTGAAGGCACTCGTGGAGAAAGTGAAGTTGTTCGTGGTTAGAGCTCAGTCGGTCGGTGAAGGTTTCCCGTTGTCGGGCAACCCGCAGACACGCAAAATAGCAGAGCAGATTGGAGGCAGAATACTAGGGCACAACACATACAACAAGCTCCCCTTCCCCAAAGATTCCATTCCTCCAACTACATCCTTGGGTCTCTGCTACCAAAACTGTGACAATTTTGTCTTCCACTACTTAGTTCCTATTCTCTACAGTTCCCTCCATAATCACTCTCTTCTCTAGAAGTTCTCTTTTCTGGAAAGGTAAGCTATTAATCTCACCTCCTAACCTCAGGTTCTTTAAGTTGACATTCATTGCTTTTTTTTTTGTAAAGCACCATTAGACATTTAGCTTGAATCTTAAATGCAAATTATTGCCCAAGCACCATTGGGTGCAAACGGACTACATCCTAGTTCAGGGAAGATATTTTAATTAAAACACAGTAAGAAACACACTGGAAGGATGCAAGTTATTTTTGCTCCAAAAATACAAGGATAAAGGAACTATAGAAAACTTGAAGAGCTTCATACCTCTGTGGTGTAGTCTGTAGCTCTAATGAATCTGTCAAATTCAGCGTTGGTGACTTCATACATATCCATGTAGAACTGCTTAACATGAACTTTTCTTGCTGGGCCCTCTCCATCCTGAGGTATTGCTGGGTCATCAGTTCCCATGGTAAACACTCCACCTGGTATCAGCACCATCTTACATAAGGAGACAATACATTGATAATGGTGGTCAATCATTAGACCTCATTCTGATTGATATAGAAAAATGTTGTCAATCATACTAGTGACGATTTCTATAGGAAGGATGTTGTGAAACTTGGAAGGGTGCAGAAAAGATTTACAAGGATGTTGCCAGGGCTGGAGGGTTTGAGCTTAAGGGAGAGGCTGAATAGGCTGGTGCTATTTTCCCCTGGATCATAGGAGGCTGACCTTATTGAGGTTTATAAAATTGCGACCGGCATGGATTGGGTAAATAGCCAAGAATCTTTTTCCTAAATTGGGGGGTGGGGGTCCAAAACTAGGGGGCATATGGTTAAAGTGAGAGGGCAAAGATTTAAAAAGGACCCAAGGGGTAATTTTTTCCACGCAGAGAATGGTGCGTGTATGGAACACGCTGCCAGAGGAAGTGGTGGAAGGGGGTACAACTACAACACTTAAAAAGGCGTCTGGATGAGTATATGAATAGGAAGGATTTAGAGGGATATGGGCCAAATGCGACTAGATCAATTTAGGACATCTAGCCAGTGCAGACGAGTGGGACCGAAGGGTCCGTTTCCGTGCTGTATGACACTATGGCTCTAATTGATTGCCAAACCATAGCCATCTTTATTAAAAGCAAGAAAATCATATGATCAAGGATTTAATACCAGTAGATACAATTGATATGTTATGCAGATCTTGCATCTTTTATTTAACTGGGGAAGTAGCTGATGCACAATGTCATGCAAGGTACTAATGATTCCATTAAGCTTTTGGTCAACAGCCTTGACAAGCATCGTGGAATGATTATGAAAAGGATACAAAGCAAAATGCACTGAAAATTAAATAGTGAAAAACTTCCTTTTAAGTGTTGAGAATTATTGAGGTTAACTACACACCCTGGTCATGCTGTTTGGAATCAAGTAATAAACTTCAAAATACTGGTGCTGAAAACAGCTTTAAATTGAAGAATTGATTCCATCAAGTAAATGGTACATGATACTGAGCAATTATGTAGAAAAGTAGCTTAGACACATTGTGACAGGCTCCAGGAATCATTAGCATGCAAAACTACAAGTGTGCCAACATTAGACAGTAGCTTTGCCAGTGAAAAGACACTTTCTATATTATAGCACAGAAACCCGTAACGCAGTTGTAAGCCCAGTATAGGTCATGTCATTTCCTTCCAGTTTTTTGACAGTCATAGCTAAAATGGAATAAAAGAATGGTCAAGATTTAGACATCCAAACTGTCAGGCTCAAAAAAAAAACATGACTAAGGACAAATTTGATTCCTTGACAAAAATCATTCAAAATTCTGGTGAGTACATCTCCTTGAACTTTAAGATTGAGGAGTATTTCAAACAATAACTACTTCTCCTTTAATACTTGATATTGATCAAAGTGAATAGAATATTAGGACTACATGACAATATTATTTCTTCTCAATTTTCAGACAGAGAAACATTTCTCCTCTGCATGCACATCTTTATAGATCCTGGAGATCCATTCTGTTAGTGAAGACGGATCTGTGATTTTCTCCTCTGTGCTCCTGTGCAATCAGCCATTCTACATTAAATTTCTTCAGCTACATTACACACAAAAAATCCACTCAATTTTCATGCTTCTTTTTTAAAAAAAAAACCTACAACGTTTCTTAACCCTGTGGATGGCAATGAAGCAATTTCATATCACCTTCTACACAGTTCTTTTGCATCATGGGAGAACAGTTTAAAGTTTGACATGACTCAACTAATAATTTGGTGACGGGTACAGAAGAGGTATTTTTCCTCCACAAATGGAAACCAGAGTTCCATCCAAGAAAAACATACAAACAGTGAAATTTTACAGGTGTATAGAGGTTTATAAAATCATGGGGGGCACGAACGGGGTGAATAGCCAATGTCTATTTCCCAGGGTAGGGGAGTCCAAAATTAGAGGGCATAGGTTTAAAGGTGAGAGGGGAAAGATTTAAAAAGGACTTAAAGGACAACTTTTTCCACACAGACCATGGTGCACGTATGGAATGAACTCCAGAGGAAGTGGTGGAGGCTGGTACAATTACAACATTGAAAAGGCATCTGGATGGGCTCATGAATAGGATGGGTTTTGGAGTAGATTTGTAGCTCGGGTTGTGGGTGTTGTGGTTGGTTGGCTCGCCGAACTGTTTCGTTGTTGTTCCACAGACGTTTCATTACCCTGCTGGGTAACGTCATCAGTGCAGCCTCCAATGAAGCACCATTTTGTTTTCCCGCCTGGTTTTTAAACTCTGGAGTCTGTTGAGCTGGATTACCTCACTTCCGGTTTTCCTTCGCAGTGGAGTGTATATGGGGTCGAATTCTATGTGTTTGTTGATGGCTTTCTTCATGGAGTACCAGGCTTCTAGGTACTCCCGTGCCTGTCTCTGCTTTGCTTGTCCCAAGATCCCATTGAAACGTCTGCGGAACAACAACGAACCAGCTCGGCGAGCCAACCGACCACAATAGGATGGGTTTAGAGGAGTATGGGCCAAATGGGACTTGATTTATTTAGGATATCTGTTCGGCGTGAACGAGTTGGACCGAAAGGTCTGTTTCTGTGCTGTACAACTCTATGACTCTAAGCCTCAAGTTGAAGTAGCGGTAGGAACATCCAATTCCCAGACCAGGTGCGGCTGCTACTGACTATCAATATCCTTTGTATAAAACCTTGACTCATTAACAGCACTTTTGTCCCAAAGTCAGAAAGCCATAGAATCAACTACCTAGAGACTTGAGCTAATTAATTCAATGAGACACTTCAGTATAACATTGGGACAGACATCATATTACCATTCAAAAGGATGTCAAAGTCTGTCTCCTTAAGTGGAAGTAGAACATTATGTGACACTCTTTGAAAGAAACAGGAGTGTGGAGTTCTCCCAGTACCGCGGCCAATCTTATAAAACTTGCCCAATTACTTGATAGTATATGCTGTGGTTAATTTTTGGTCCAAGTTTTGTCCAATGAACATAAAAAAAGACATTCGATACATATTTGAAAAAGGAAAAACTCCAAAAGTACACCGGAAGATCTGGGTGCATCTAATTGAAAAGATCTTTCAAAGAGCTGGTCTCAGCAAAAATCTGACAAATAGCCTCCTTTTGTCCTATTTATCTGTTATGACTTGAGAAAATGAGGAATAAGCAACCTGGATATTTTTGAAAAACCTAGGGGTGCTAATTCACATTACATTAATAAAAATTAAACTCTTATGGAAAAGACAAATGTCACCAACCATACCCTTCCAATAGTTGCATTTTTATTTCTTCTTTCATGGAATGTGGATGTTACTGGCTAGACCAGTATTTATTGCCTATCTCTGCCACAGCCTTGAACTAATGCAGTCCTTGGCATGTAGGGAAACCCATAGTGTTGTTAGCTAAGAAATTTCAAGATTTTGACCCAGCAAGTGAAGGGATGATGGCATAGTTTGGATGGGATGTACCTTGGAAGGGAAGCTGCATTGTTGTGGTGTTTCTGTGCACCTGTTGTCCTCGTCATTTTCAAGGAAGAAGTCACAGATTTAGAAAATCCTGTTGAAGGAATGTTGAGTTGTGTTGTATATGTTGTTATTCTGGTTCAGCAGAGATTGATAGGTCTTCAGTAATTTAGTTGGCGACTAATTATTACATATAAATGGTCAACTATTGGTAATTTTACAGAGATATGGTTAACTCTGCCTAAACCCACTGAACTCTGTCTTGTTCTCTTACATCATCACAGAAATGCTATTCACACTGTACCAGACATTAACCTGATCAAGTTTTTATACAAGTTGCTGCAAAGCATTTTGTTGAGGGTACACACTGCTGCAACTGTCAGTGATGGAGAGAGTGGATCTTTGAGATATTTTCAGGTTAGGTGCCAGTCAAATGTGCTTTATGCTGGAGAATATCAAGTTTGTTTTGTTGAAGCTCCATTCGTCTAATTAGGTGGAGTGTATTCCATCACGCTCCTTATTTGTATGTGGACGGTGGACAGGCTTTGGGAAGTTAGGAGTTACTCACCACAGGATTCCCAATCTCTGTCTATCCTTGCAGCCACAGTATTTAATTAAACTTTCCGAGAATACAACGACACTTCAGACGTACTTTTGGTGTGTAAAGGGCTCTGGGACAGCAGGAGATCGTACAAGATGTAAGGGTTTATTTCACTTAATCAATACCCATATTAAAAAGGTGTCTAGATACTGTAATTAAGATTTTCCACAAGTTACAAACACCCTTGTAGATCACAGCCCGTAGGTGTGCTACATCAATACCGTACTTTTGGTGCAAGCGAAACGGTGAAAAGTAACGCTGCAGATAGTTACACCAGTCCGGTTACATAAAGTGAGACTGACTAGGACTCTACCTGATTAGTGCGCCTTTCCAAGTCTGGCCTGTAGTCTTCTGTGATCTCTTGACCTACAACATTAGCCTCCTTAGAGTATTTGGCAGCTGCCTGTTTCGCTAATGAGATGCTGTCATGTGGAGTATCAGGGAAATCGCCAGCAACTTCCCGACGACTAGTGCAGCCGCAACCAGAGGAGAAACCAGAGTCTTTGGGTGACGGACTTGTTGCAAATACTAGACTCACGCTAACTAAAAGGACAAACAGCGTGAGGCTGAAATAAACAGTTAAACATCTCCCGCACAAACTCCTCGACCTGGGCAGCGCCATGTTGGGGGGCTATAGATCATGTGATCAATCAGCTGACCATCAGCAGTTGGCGGACGATTCGAGGCCACGTGATTCAGCGTCTGCTCCACGTGCTTCTTCCAACGTACCAAGCTCCTGCAACCATTTACCTTCCTTGTTTTTGCAAGCTTTAATGAAAACAAACAACCACTGGTTATGTAAATTACACAAAAAATGGCTGACGTTTGCTTCTCTTCCGGTGTGTAATATCACATGATATAAACCAACCAATCAAAGCGCCAGCTTTACGTGCTGACGACGAGCAGGGGGGATGCACAAGAAGATTACCAAGTCCGCGCTTCCTCCCCACACAGCCCCACAACGTTGGAGGACTTCAACGTGAGTTGTGGATAAGCTCCAGCTTTGACATCTTTGTGGATACAGTGGTGTTATTTTGCCCTTTTGTTAAAGGTTAGTTTTTTTTCGGTAGTAGAATATGTACTGTTAGCTCAGTTTAGTAACAATCAATGATTAATAGCATTATATATTGCATTCTGATTTTTATTATAATTTGAGTAAAGAGAATTTGTTAATATTTTTAGTTAAAATATATACAGTAGGCTGTTAATTGCTGCTAAACGCTGTATCAACATTTGATTGCAATAATTACATTAATAATTTTAGTGAGTTTGCATTTCCTTTAGTTTTTTTATTTTCAATTAAATTGCTGTGAGACTTTTTAAATGTGCAAATATGTTTTGAAGATGTACAATCGTGCTACAGAAATTGGATCTACACGAGAATTTCTAATTTCTGATTGTAGAATTCACATGATTCTGATTTGTAACTAAAGAAACTTTTGAAGATTGAGTTTATCAGAGGATATGAATGCAAAGATGGAAAGACAACGTTCTAGTCAAGGCATTGATATTTCTGAATGCATGTAATTATATATATATTTTGTCAATAAATATTATAGCTTGGTGTCAAGCTTTGTGAAGTCCATCCATTCGAGTGTGCCCTTAAGCAGGTTTTAAGTTACAAGATATGTAGGATGGACATGTAGCTGAAATTGATTCTGATTGCCTTCCTTGTGGTTTCTCTTACCTGTGCTGCAAACAAAACTACAGATGCCCTTCTAGCCTTTATGATGGGATGGCCTCCATAGACTGTCAATCCAATGCTCAGGGCCAGTCCTTCGACGTCTGCATGCTAGGGCTATCTGGAATGGGCCCCGACCACTAGCTTTCTGGGTTCAAGTGGAAATACCCCCAATGACCTGTGACTACTTTATTGAGTAATGTGAGAAAACAAAATATTATTGGAACACTTAAATAGGCTGCCTGAGTGAAGCAAATGAATTTGCTTCGATTTATTTTGAAAAAATTAAGTTACGATATGGTGGTAGCTATGCTGGAAGTCTGGTGTTTCATGGTTCAAGAAGAGATCTCTTATTGGCAAAACACAAGGGGCACTCTGATGCAGTTGTTGACATCTACCAGCTAGCAATGTGAATTAAGTTCACAAATGTTGAAATGAGAGCATTTCAGTCTGAGTGGGTGTCCCAATGCCCCATTTGGCACAAAAATGGCAGGTGCTGAGATGTCTATCATTATTTACCCCTAGCATGTAATGGTTTCTTCAGACATGGTGCAAACCAATGTTGTCCGAGTGAAAGATGCATCAAATAAGCTGTCACTGAACCCTCTAAAGTTGGTCTCATGACTGCAAAGCTGTTTTCCTAATGTCAGTTTTGTGTGTAGACCTGAAAATAAATATGTTTAATAGGTAAACCTAATGGCAGACATTGGACTTGGTTGCCCAGAGAATCAAGATGATGGTAATATCAGGGTTGAATGTATACCTAGTTTGGTTTGTGGATTTTGCACTTATTCTGTATCTCCCACAATGTTGGACCTAATTCTTACTGAGCCACGTTAATCCACTCATTGACCTACAAAGAGCACTAAATATTGATTGTCATTGAGCTCACCCCCATTACTCACCAGTTGCTCTAAGCTCTGTGGGGTCTGAGAGCGCATGTAAGGTAATCAACAGGTCTCCTGTTTGAGAAACTAGAATCATTTTAGAACCCAGTGCCCCCTAGGTAGCTGTGTGGTGGAGTGACAATTGAACTGGCGGTTTCATTTTCCATCAATTCCGCTGCTGAGGAGGCAACGCAACTTGTTTTGGGCTTCGACCATGGGTCAACAAAGTAGTTGTTTGGTCAGCCACCGCGATCCTGCAGCAGAAAACAAAAATTAAAAGTTAAGAGCTCGCACGTTATACTGGTTCCTGAAAGTTGTGTGTGAACCCTGGCTTGCTGTCAAGTGCTTTCCCTGTTTACCCCTTAATTTTCCTCTAAGGCAGTAAACTTTATCAAAAGATTGAGCACAAAGTGCGCCTATGAAGGGAACTCAAACCAGTCTGAGAGCAAACCCCAGCTTCGGGACTCTGGTCACTGAGAAAAGTTGGGTCCCTCGCGGAAACTTTTTGAAACGTTCGGAGGGGGCGGGGCGATTGCCGACGGACGTGCAGAACAGCCAATCGGAGGGTACAGAGCGCGCGCCCACTGACGTCACTATTATAATAAGGGGGCGGAGCCCGTGCCGTTACTGCGGAGCCCGCCGGGAGTTGTAGTCCTTCCTCCCCCTAATGTGGCTGGGAGCGACCCGAGGACTGTGGGGAGGTGGGACTACAGGTCCCAGGGTGAACGGCGGGCTGTGCGGGCTCGCTGATAGGCGAAGAAGCTTGTAACAGCTGCTGCAATTGCTACAAGCGAGAGAGGGGCTGGCTAAGAGCTGTGTTATCTAACGGGAACTGTCTCACTGGAAAGGGTGAAAGAAAAGACTGAGCAGCCATGGACTTCCTCTGTACTACCTAGCTATTACTTCTATCACCACTATCTGTTCGGGCTCCCACTCTTCAGGTCAGTGCTTTTTTTTTAAAAAGGCGCTATGCGTTGCTTCAACTTCGAATCAACTTGAAAGTGAAGCAGGACAGAATGAAGGAGTACTCCACCTAATGTAAGCAATGGTCTGCTGTTTTAAATCTGCCGTTTTCATTCATGCTCCCTTTCAATAGAAAGGTAAACTTCGTCAACTTGCAACTTGAAAGCGGATTGCGGGTCTGCAGATTTCCAACGCAAAGGGGCTGAAATAAAATGAATATAAAGCCCGTTTGCTCACGTTTGAAGCTGCGATTTATCTTTGCGTTCTGCGATGTCCTGTTACACTGAATGTTCGCCACCACAAGTTTGATGTCTGTATTGTTAAGTCCATAAACGCAGCGGTCACCGTGTGCACTTTGACCGTTCTCTGTCTGCAGGTCTATGTTTGGAGTTTATTGGCTTTAATTACCATTAGGATGTTTCAAGATTAAACCAATTGTGTTAGCGGAGCTGTATTAACGGTGATGATTTTCTTTCAATGGCAGAAGTGCATCATTTTTAAAATATTATCATTATTTATTATTAATGTTTTTTTTTATTCGTCTCGTTGCAGAGGTGGAGATATTGTGCTTGACTTGGTAGCCGAAAGAAAGGGATGAGAGATGTCTGACAAAATGTCGAGTTTTCTTCACATTGGAGATATAGTCTCCTTATACTCCGAAGGATCTGTCAATGGGTTCATCAGTACTTTAGGGTAAGTATGAGAGAAACAGCCGCTGGTAGGTTTCTTTGACTCTTTCACTGAATTAGTAACTTGCCACAGGAGTTAAAACTGACTAACGGTTTGGGAGGGAAAATGCACCAAGCTTCGGTATCAACGTGACGTGTCTGAGAATCTTAGTGAATCCTGGCATCTAGTTCTGAAAGGTTTGATCTCTTCCTGTACCACCATCAGTTGTTGGTTCACTCACTGGCCCATGCAAATAGGTGAATGCAGTGGGTTATGGACATTTTTTTTTCTAATCAAGAGACTAGATATTATCACAGACACCCCTCTGGAGCAGGTAGGACTTTTAAACCAGGCTAAGGCCGGGACACTACCACTGCGCCACAACAGCTTTCTGACTGTTGTTTATATCGAGGGCGTTAATGTATAGCTATAAACATCGTCAATCTTGATTCAAAGCGATTTTGCCGATTAAATTATGCCGCTCACTTCGAACGCCAACGTCCTTCAGTGCTGTACTCGGGGACACATTGCAACTTGGCAAACACTTGGGTGGGTGGGTCTCGGAATTGCAATTAAATGTGTTGAGATCCAGTCATGACATTGACACTACATGTGATTTGGAGTGTTCCCTCATGGAAGGGCTATGGTCGATTTACACCCATTTTTGAGTTATTTTCCCTGTAAATCCTTTTGTTCCGGTGTCTCTAACTGAATTCACCCAGAGAGGTGGAGATTCAGAGCATTGTCTGCTTTGTATATCTGCCACTCGTTGGACCATCTCCTGTCTGCACCTGAACTTTCCGATTTTTAGGTTACCTGCTTTTGTGGTTTATTTGTTTTCATGTCTTGCATTCTCTGCCTGATATCATGCATCCGCTACAAGAGTAGCATTCATTGACTTGATATGCCACTTTCACCATTTAACCTTAGTCTTAGTGGACTTTCATTGGGCACGTGTATTCACTGTTAAAACAGGAGTGTAGTAATTGGCTGCCACGTCTGCTCATGGTTCAAGAAATGCAGTGCATTGTAACACTGCAGTACAGCCCAAGGCCCATAGAATCCCTACAGTGTGGAAGCAGGCCATTTGGCCCATCGAGTCCACATTGAGGAGCATCCCACCCAGACTTGCACCTTGCACCATCCTTACGTTTCCCACCCTAGACATTATGTATAATTTTAGCATGGCCAATCCACCTAACCTGCACATCTTTTGGACTGTGGGAGGAAACTGGAGCACCCGGGGAAAACCCACACAGACGTGGGGAGAATGTGTAAGGAGTTTGCACAGTCTCCCGAGGATGGAATCGAACCCGGGTCCCTGGCACTGAGGCAACAGTGCTAACCACTGAGCCACCATGCTGCCCCTGGTAACCTTTTGTTAAGGTCTGTGCTCCATTACCTGATTTGGATTGGCACAATCATGTCAGATTGGAATTGGCATCAGTGATCTTGGACTAGTAAAAGGCTAAACCTGCTACCACGCTTCAGTTCTTGATTGTTCCTTAATGGTGCTTTTGTGTAAGATACAGGACAACATCTTCAAGGACTTGGCATTTTGCCAATCTTTTATCTACCATTGGGAACTAAACCTTCTCATTTTGTTAAAATTCTCTCCCTAAATCCCCACCTCTCCATTGTGACCTTCCCTATTTTGGAAAATTCATCAGCTCCTTATCCCAATGTCCTTCCTTTCCTAAGGAAGGTTTGATTTGATATTGTTACATGTACTAAAGTACAGTGAAAAGTATCGTTTTGTGTGTTATTCAGGCAAATATAAGTACATCAGAATAATCATTTTACATTACATTAACAAAGCCTCTTAGCTCACTTCAATTGTACCTTTTATTTCATTTCACCTAAAAGTTGAATTTTACTTCTGTAAGTAAATAGCTTGATAGTGTTTGGTCTAGACTGAATAAAGATTGGTAGTCTTGATGGGATGTTGGTACAACTATTTCCCCTGGAGTCAATATTTTAAGGAAAGGGGTTTGGGAATCTAAGTGCTGAGGAAGTACCTGAATAGATGCTTATTCATTCCCAGGAACAAATGCATTACAGTGCCATTGAAGGTTATGACTTTGAAATGTTGACTGCTTCTTCCCAAGTGGTGATTTTCTCCAGTTTTGTTTGCAGATACTGTTCTTGCCCCCACCATTGCCCTTAGGGTTTTTTTTTTTTTTTTTTTTTTTTTGAGGAGGAATAGGGTAGGTTGCTTCTTCTCCCCAATTTTGTGGGTCTGAATGGCTTTGGCCTTGAATTGGCTAGACCTGGTAACGTGATGATTGTTACCTTTTGCCTGAACATGAGGCTTTTGTAGCTTGCAAAGCATTAACAAAATGTCAACTAATATGTGATAAATTTTTTTTTTTGGAATGCTCTAATTGCAAAATATAGAATTGGATTCATTGAGTGGAGCCTTTGATTCAATACTCCTTCATTGCTATATCCACCCCAAATTTTATTCATAGCATTTGTACAAATGTCATTTAACACCTACTTGTACAATGGCAATGGTCAGGTAATTGTTTGAAATTTTGCTTTGTCTACTCTTTTTGATATAAATTGTAATAAGGCATACTACCTGCAATTGATTTCAGGGGAAGATTGTTCTTATTGCTACTGAAATAGTATATGAAATGTGGAAGACTTGCACTTTCAAAGCTTTAACATTTTAACAGTCCAACTACCAGAATGATGACCTAATGCTTTTAAGTTCACCAAAGATTTATCTGCACAATTACGTTGACAAATCCTCTTTTAAAAAATAAGTTTAATAGTGACAAATTTTAGCTCCACAAATAGCTGTCTCTTGCCTGGACACCAAGTTCCTCCTCACTACTATTCTGTTGCCCTTTGTCCCTGATGAAGGGGGTCAGGGGGATGTGGCAGGAGGAGTTAGAAATTTAAACACATTTTTCAAATGCTTTTCTCACCCTTTGGTTGACTAACTGCAGATCAGCACTGCATCAATTTTGGTTATTATTTTGGATAAATTTGCCAAAATGAACTTGATGGATTCCAGGTTTTTGATCACCTGAGTTCTGAAGATTAGTAAATCCTACCCCCTCCTCCACCAACAAAAACAAACAGCAACAATCGCCTACATTTATGAAGCATCTTTTTGACTTGGAAAAACATCTCTAGGTACTTTTAAATTTGAGAAAACAAGAATTTAGAATTTAAATGTGCAATGATTCAGGAACAGCTTGACTTTTTAAGATGGCTTGGGCTTACAAAGGGTATATAGAGTTATGGCACAGTAATAGACCATTTGGCTTAACTGCATGCCAGAATTCTTCCCAATCTGTGGTGCACCTTTTTGTGATTGGTATATTTGTATTCAAAAATCCTCTTCATCCTCTACTCCACCTAGATTGACATGTTCCAAGTAATGAATTCCAAAATGTACCATCTTCCCTTTTATCTGTGTTGCATGTTCACTACTGCCTGCCTGTAATTTGTTGTAGTCTCCTCTGTCATGACTACTTCCTGCAATTTGCTATCCAAACAAATTTTAGAATTTTTATTTTTTGATAACATGTCTAAATTGTGACCAGCAGTGGTCCCAGCACTGATCCATGTGGACGACCACCACTTTACACTTTCTGGCATTCTGAGTAATTACTGTACCTGTATTCCCACTTGCAGTTTTTCCCTTGTAGCCAACTGGCAATCCATTCAACACTACTTGTCTCCTGGTTTTCATATACTCTGACCTTTTACTTGTTGATCTATTATGTGACATCTTATCAAAAGCATTTTGGATAATCAACATACATTACATGCACAACACTGTTATTAGCTGTCTCTGTTACCACCTTTTTAAAAATTTCACTAAATTTGGACCAGCAAAATTTTCTCTTTTGAAACCCACACTGAGTGTGTTCATTATTCTGTGTTTTTATTTTGTGATATTCTATTTGCTCATCTAGAAGTGATTCCCTAATTTTTCCTGTTAATAATGTTAAGCTGAACTGTTTCATGAGATAATGCTGTCCGAGAGCATTCGGCAATGTACTGTAGGATTGGTGGCAGTCCATAGAGGTTGAGAGTATGAAGGAATCTGCCTTGACCTCACTCTATGTGCGCTACGTTGCCTCAGTGTAAACTTCAGTGGAGTTGGGAGCAATGTCAATTACAATAAGAGAAAAAGATCAACAATTAACAAAGTTAAAAGAAAAGTAATCATAAAAATGGAGTGTCTTGAGGTTGATGTAATGACCTTTCTTTTTCTGTATTTCTTTGAAAGCCTTGTGGATGACCGATGTGTGGTGCAACCAGATGCTGGAGACTTGAACAACCCACCTAAGAAATTCAGAGGTAAGTGAATTCTGAAGCCTACAAACTTTAGAAAGTACAGCAAAATGAGCCAAGTTATCAAGATCTACTAAAAGCTTGCTGATATAATATCGCTGGACACGCTTGCCATAAATTTTGAGGTCTTGATTACAATAATCCAACAAGGGGGTTTAATTAAATTATTTAAACTTCAAAGTGCCTGTGTTGGTTTAAATGATGTATTTGAGATGACACATTCCATGGTGCTTCTCTAGTGAGAATTTAATTACAATAAGGTTGAGTGTTGGTACTGAGCAAAACACTGACTGACTATAAAATCTTTGGCAAAGGTATGAGAGTAACCTTGCTGTGTTCTTTGGCCAACTTGGATGCCAGAATGCAAAACCAGCAATTAATGATGGCTCACACTGAGATCATTGTAGTGATGTAAATTTTGGTATTTGTTTGTGCCTTTTTTTGATCTATGCAAGATAACTGAAATTATTAATCAAGAGGCTTTGAGATTGCTGGTTTAGCTGGGATTCATCTCTGGTTTAGTGAATTGTCGATGCTCTTGAGTAAACTTGTTTGATTATCTGAGGCTGGGTAATAAGGAACCTGGAGGCTGCTATCACCCATTCACTTTTTGGTTTAAAGGAAAGCTGTGGGGATTGGGGGGAGGTGGGTGTAAAATCCAATCAGCAAATTATTTCTGATGTATTCTGCCTTCCCTCCCAGCCTCCAACAATGTACATGTGTGCATGTATTTGTTTTTTGTGAATAAGATGTGATTTTTAATTTACTTGCATGGACCAGCATCTGATTAAACAAAACACTTGCAAAAGTGTCTTGTTTAATCATGATTTGGAAGTATTATGTTGATGTAATGTAGCTGCTCGGTTAATGATTATAGTTTTGAACTGTTGCCGTGAATGATGTTATTGTGCAAACACTTCACATACCATATCAACCTTCTCTTCCCGTTACTATAGCAGAGACATTAATGATTTTTCTTTTAAACTGGCCACCATAACCACTATATAGCGAAGCAAACTGTTCGATGTCATGCAATTTCTAGGATCCTCTTGTAGGCAGTTTTGCTATTAATGCATCAGCATTTATGACCAAAAAAAGGACTAGTGGAAATTTATCTTCACCCCAAAAATATAACATGCTGTTGCGTAGAGGGCTTGGTCCAAAAGATACAGCCGACTCCAGACATCTTTACGAGCTGCATTTTATAATGCAAAAAACCCAGTTTGAAAGATCCCAATGAAATGGATATCTGCATAGATTTTAAGAGAACTAGTCTTCAGAATATAATATGGGAAGCTGAACTTTCCACAAAATGTTTTGTGTTCTGGTGTCTGGAAGCGTAGTGCTTAAACAGCAATGCCAATCCATCACACTCTAAAATTTGGATCAGAATTATAATCATTTGATGATTCTACATATTATGTGCAAACATGGAAGTGCCTTTTTAACGCAGATTAATCTACCAGTGGTGATATACCAGCTTCTTTGAACTTTTTTCTTTTTTTCGCCGATACTTTACTTTAGAGAATAATTCCTTTAAATATTTTGAAGTAACCTGTGTTCGGGTGTTAGGATACACCTCTGGAGCAGGTGGAACTTGAATCCAGGCCTCCTAGTCCAGGGATAGGGACACTACCACTGTGCCACAAAATCTTTGGTAGGTTTTTTAGGCGCTGTACTCATTTTAGTTCAGATTGGTGCTCCTATGGTGTAATCTGTGTAATCATTAATCTCATTTTGGAAACAGGGAAATTTGGAATTCTGAAGTGTTTCTCTGCATTTAGTTTGCTGCTGTGGCTGCATATTGACTAGTGACGTGGTGGGACTGGTTTTGGAGAAACCTTGATTTAAGCATAAGGTGTAAACAGGAATGGTTGGGTAGCTGAAATATTGTACAGTGGTTTATGGACCATCAGTGATCTTGTGTAAGGGAGTGTGGGAAAGACCAGTGGGCCCGTGAGCAACTTATGAAATGAAATCTTAAAATAACACTGGGGTGATGGTGTATATTTGGGAAGAACTTTATTCAGCAGAAGAAATACGAATATTGGTGAAATTTCCTTCTCTTCTGCTCTATTCATTTGTTTATCTTTATTTTGAGCCTTGCTGCTGAAGATTGGCATTTTATTTGGGACAGTTATAGCATAGAGTTTGTTATTATCATGTAAAGTAACAAGTTTCATTGTTGCAGCAACTAAATTATAATTTGGCTGTAATTTTAATGTAGTGCTTCATTCCCTTGTGACTGGCCCGTACCAGACAGAGCCTTTGCAACTGAAAAGGCACAACACGAGTCAGGATCAGCAAAAAACTTAGAATCCTGCCATTTTTGCATGATTTTTTACTGACATTAGAAAATTTAGAATTTTGTACTAAACATGTCACTTCCTTGAAACCCTCAACCATGGTGGAATCATTTATTTAAAGTCAGATGTACCAGACAGTCTCTTCCAGCCAACCATGGTCCCCAGCTCAATTCCCTTTCCCATCAGAGCCATGCGGTCTCGGAGATCAAAAACAATGAGCAAAACACCGTAGATGTTGGGATTTCAAAATAAAAATGGGAAGCGCTCGAGGAAACTCAGCAGGTCTGACTGCAGTTGTGGAGAGGGAAGCAGAGGTTGATGTTTTGAATCTGGTAAGACTCCTGTTCCGAGATCAGATAACCACTTCTGCCAGTTAGCAGATAGAGGTTTTGGGGGCAATACTTGAAATTAGTTCAGGAGACCACTTTAGCCCCGAATACATACTACACAGCACCTACTTTATTTGCTGAAGATTATTGGCCTTCTAGTCAAAAACTGTCCGTACCATCTCTCGCTTGAAGAAATTCAGCAAGTGAATGCTAGGTTGGTAACCTGTACTGCATTATTTGGAGCATTGCTCCTACTTGCTGCAAGTGAAAAGATTAGAATTTTTATTAAGCTAATTGCTTTGGCCAGTTGCCAACTACCCACTTATAAGATGCCATGTGCATGCAGCTGCCCACGAAAACTTTATGGTCCTGTGCATTCAGTATGTACGGTGTAGGACCAATAGAGGGAATATTTAACCTCGTCACTATCTTGAATAAATATCGAAGTTGGCAAGAACGTGTAAATATGCTTCATTGCCTATGAAAAATAACTTAATTATATTTATCGCTGAAAGCTAACAGATGCGCAGCTGAATGTGACATTGACATTAAAGATGTGAGACTTATCCAGAGCTTTTTATTGTGACAAAGTAGTGAGTGTTGGTCTAGAAAAAAGAAAGACTCGGATATATTTGAAATCAAGTGAGGACGATAAGGATGCTGCTTGCTGTCATCAAAATTTAAGTCTCAACACTAATCAAATGTTCAGATCTTATTCCAGTGATTATAAAAATTGGAGGCAAGAGCATTTTTTAAAAATCACCTGCGGGGGGGAAAGTGTCTCCCTGGTTGGACCAGCATTTATTAACTGTCCCTTTTATTGCCCTTGAGAAGGAGGTGGTGAGCTGTTTCTTTGAATTTCTGGAATACTGTGTCCAGTTCTGGTCACCCAATTATAGGAAAGATATTATCAAGTGAAGAGGGTTCAGTAGAGATTTATCAGGATATTGCCAGGTATGCAAGGTTTGAGTTTTAAAGAAAGGCCGGGTAGGTTTTTCATTGGAGTGCAGGAGGTTGAGAGGCGACCCGATAGAAGTTTATAAAATAACGAGAGGTATAGATAGAGTTAATGATAGTTGTCTTTTCCCTAGGATTTCAAGACTAGGAGGCACATTTTTAAGGTGAGAGAAGAGAGATTTTTAAAGACATGAGGGGCAAATTTTTTTAAACAGAGGGTGGTTCGCATGTGGAATGAACGTCCTGAGGACATGGTGGATGTCAGCACACTTAGAACACTTAAAAGACATTTGGATATGTACGTGAAAAGGAAAGGTTTGGAGGGATGTGGGCCAGGAGGATGCAGGTGGCACTAGTTTGGTTTGGGATTATGTTCGGCGTGGTCTGGTTGGAGTGAAGGGTCTGTTTCTATGCTGTATGACTCTGACTCAACTGTAGCCTATTTGGTGTGGATATAGCTTCAATGCTATTACGGTGGGATTGTAATCCAGCGACACTGCAGGATCAGAGATACAGGAATGTGTGTGTGTCTATACTATACTGGAACAGCTTGACTAGTGGCACATTTTGGAACACAAGTCTTCAGTACTATTGCTGGAATGTTGTTAGGGCCCATAGTCTTTGCAGTATTCAGTGCTGCTAGTAGCTATTTCTTGATATCATGTGAAGCAAATTGAATTGGCTGAAGGCTGGCATCTGTGATGCTGTGACAAAAAGACTTAGTACAATGACACAGCACTAATTGCAGAAACGGAAGAAGCCCAACAAAATGTTACAGACAAGTAACAGCTAGAAATTTAGAATATGGATCGAGAAGAAAAACAACAAAGATGCAAAGAATGATGGTTTGAGAAGACACTGGAATGAATATTGAAATGGATGGTGTCACACTGAAACATATTGATAGGTTTGTCTGTTTAGGATAAATTACAACAAAGTAGCAGATGTGGTGCCAAGGTTAGAAGACTAAAGATAGCTACAAGAAACTTTGTGAAGGTGAAGGATCTATTAACAAGAAAAAAGTTGCTATGTTCTATCCACTGTCCTGTTTGCCTCTGAAACCTGGGCAAAAGCTGTTTGGATTTGAAACGCAATCATGTAGCGGAAACCGACCCTTCGGTCCAACTCGTCCGTGCTAACCAGATATCCTAGATAAATCTAGTCCTATTTGCCAGCATTTGGCCCATATCCCCCCCCCCGGGAAAAGACCTTGGCTATTTACTCCATCCATGCCCTCCTGATTTGAAAAACCTCTATAAGGTCTCCCCTCGGCCTCTGACGCTCCAGGGAAAATAGCTCCATCCTATTCAGCCTCTCCCTACAGTTCAAACCCTCCAACCCAGACAGTATCCTTAAATCTTTTCTGATCCCTTTCAAGTTTCATAACATCTTTCCTATATCAGAGAGACCAGAA